TGGTGGTGTGTCCTCCTTCCCGCTCTCTCTCCTCCCCCACTGCCCGCGCTCTCTGGCATGAGTCGGTCCGTGTTCAGTGATCTCTCGCCTGGCCTGCGAACACAAAATCGTTCTCTGGCACGGGTGGCGCTCGGGATGATGATGATGATGATGATGATGATGATGCGGATATGGATGATGGTGCGGAAGGGTTATCGATTTGCCGGAGGGGGGGGGGGTTCTTAAATGCTTCCATGCTTCGTCGTCGTCTTCGTCGCCGTCGCCGTCGCCCTCGAGATCGTCCACCTCCTCTCTCTCCTCCTCCTTCTCCTACTCCTCCCCATCCTCCTCCTCCCCCTCTTCCTCCTCCTTTTTTACATTCGACCGAGATTGGGTCCGAGCCTGTTGCGCCTATGCGAAATTCAACGTCAGGAGGGCGGGGTTAGGCTCAGAGGGGGGACGCATCGACCACGAGTCGCCCATTCCTCCCCGACGGGGGCCCGACGGCAGCCCGCCCCGCCCAGGGCCGTGCGGCCTCGCCATCGGGGGCCGAGCGCCGATCTATCTGAGGTGCGAGGCCGACTCCAGGTCGGCCCCTCCTCCTCCTCCTCCTCCTCCTCCTCCTCCTCCTCCTCCTCCTCCTCCTCCTCCTCCCCCTCCTCGTCCTCCTCCTCCTCCTCCTCCTCCTCCTCCTTCTCCGCCCCCCTGCAACAACTTTCGTAGAATACGAAACGTTTCGCGGACCTAGCTCGAGTGGCAGATCGAGTTCAGACCTCTAGATGCTAGAGACAGACGCGCCTGATGATTCTGAATCGGTTTCTGTGAGCACCAGCTCTGTAGCTCTCCCACGGCCCGAGCCGCGGGGCGGGGGGACGGCGGGCGGCTCTGGCTCCGCGAGGCCCGCGGGAGAGCTCGCCAGCTCGCTGGAGCTGGGCCGACCTCGTGCCCGTGGTCGCCCCCCCTCCCCCGGAGGTGCGGCGAGGGCCTCGCCCGCCCGCGGCAGGGCGTCGCGGCGATCGGCCGGCACGCCCAGGATCGGCTCGCTGCGCCCGACGACCCAGGCTCTCGGCGCGCCGCGGAAGAGTCCGCGCGGCAGGTGTCAGACCGCTGTTCCGTTCGCCAGTGGCCTTCACAGGGCCCCGGCACCGCCAGGGACGACTCGCGGTGAAGAAGCAGTCGACCGAAGCAGTCATGATCGTTTGCGCGGCCGCGGCGCGCGCAAGTAGCAGCTGACCTGGTATATATATATATATATATATATATATACATATCTATATATATATATATGTATATATACATATTGTAAGGCGCCCCCTGCTCAGTGTTGCCCGTGTCTCGGTCCTCTTCTTCGCGGCGGCTCCCGTCGTGTCGATTTCCCCGGGGGAGGTCTTGGCATGCTTTGTGGGACGCGCGGGGTGAGCACGCCTCAACATCCTAGCCTTTCCTCCTCGTCCTCCTCGTTGTCCAAAGCACCCCTTAAGTTCGACGTGTGTGCTCCCATGGAGAACTTCTGCAGCGAGCTTCGAGCTTCGGGACAGAGGAGGAGACGAACCCGGAGCTCTGGCTCGTTTTTTCCCCAACCATCCTTGGCTGGACATTCGTTTTGAATAGAGCACTGCGGTCGCGTCTTCTCCTTCTTCCTCCTCCCGCCTCCTGCCTCTCGCCTCCCCTCCTTGTCTCCTCTTGCCTTGTGCGTAATTACCGCTTGTGTGTGCCTGTTGCCTGCGGTACCTGTCTCCGACCTCGCCGACCCTGGGAGGCTGCGATCTGCGAAGCCGTCGCCACTTTCGACGGCTGCTTGGGGGGCCAGCACAGTGGGTAGCCGCCGCAGATCCAAATTAGACCTCGCCACCCCTGGGGGGAGCGATTTGCGAAACTGTGATCACTTCCGAGGGCTGATTGGGGGGCCAGCACAGCGGGTAGCCGCCGCAAATCCAAAGTAGACCTCGCCATCCCTGGGGGGCTGCGATTTGTTCCGAAACTGTCGCCACTTTCGAGGGCTGCTTGGGGGGGCCAGCTATAGTGGGTAGCCGCCGCAGATCCAAATTGGACCTCGTCATTCCTGGGGGGCTGCGATTTGCGAAACCGTCGCCATTTTCGAGGGCTGCTTGGGGGGTCAGCATAGCGATCTGCGAAACTGTCACCACTTTCGAGGGCTGCTGGTGGGTCCAGCGGAGTAAGGCACCGCGAAAATCTGAGCGAGACCTCGCCGTCCCTGGGGGCTGCGATCTGCGAAACCCTCGCCGCTTTCAAGGGCTGATGGCGGCTCCAGCGGAGTGAAGCACCGCGCAGATCTGAGCGGGACCTCGCCATCCTTGGGGGGTTGCGATTTGCGAAAGTGTCGCCATGTTCGAGGGCTGCTGGGGGGGCAGCATAGTGGGTAGCCGCCGCAGATCCAAAGTAGACCTCGCAACCTCTGGGGGGGCTGTGATTTGCGAAACTGTCGCCACTTTCGAGGGCTGCTGGGAACCAGCATAGTGGGTAGGCGCCGCAGATCCAAATTAGACCTCGCCATTATTGGGGCGCTGCGATTTGCGAAACTGCCGCCACGTTCGAGGGCTGCTTGGGGGGCCAGAATAGTGGGTGGTAGCCGCCGCAGATCTGAGCTGGACCTCGCCATCCCTGGGGGGCTGCGACCTGCTTAACCGTCGCCACTTTCGAAGGCTGCTTGGGGGGGCAGCATAGTGGGCAACCGCCGCAGATCCAAAGTAGACCTCGCCATCCCTGGGGGGGGCTGCGATTTGCGAAACTGTCGCCACTTTCGAGGGCTGCTTGGGGGGCAGCATGGGTAGCCGCCGCAGATCCAAATTAGACCTCGCCATTCTTGGGGCGCTGCGATTTGCGAAACTGCCGCCACGTTCGAGGGCTGCTTGGGGGGCCAGCTATAGTGGGTAGCCGCCGCAGATCCAAATTGGACCTCGTCATTCCTGGGGGGCTGCGATTTGCGAAACCGTCGCCACTTTCGCTGGCTGCTTGGGGGGTCAGCATAGCGATCTGCGAAACTGTCACCACTTTCGAGGGTTGTTGGTGGGTCCAGCGGAGTGAGGCACCGCGCAGATCTGAGTGAGACCTCGCCGTCCCTGGGGGCTGCGATCTGCGAAATCGTCGCCGTTTTCAAGAGTTGATGGCGGCTCCAGCGGAGTGAGGCACCGCGCTGATCTGAGCGGGACCTCGCCGTCCTTGGGGGGCTGCGATTTGCGAAACCGTCGCTACTTTCGAAGGCTGGTGGCGGGTCCAGCTGAGTGAGGCACCACGCAGATCTGAGCTCGACCTCACAATCCCTGGGTGTCTGCGAGCCTCACGAATGCCGCTCGCAGAAGCATATGCGCCCATGTCACGTCATCACCACCGTACAACGTCTCCCAAGCTATTCATGCCCCGCATTGCGCAGGGGTTGGGTACGTCGCCAGGGTAATTTAAGGTTTTCGCGTGGGGCGTGTCCTTGATGGTACTGGGGGCCCGAAGAGGACGAGGACGAGGACGAGGGTGAGGAGGAGGACGAGGACCAGAGTAAATCCGAGATGCATTAAGGATGCAATACGGTCGGACCGAGATATATGATCGAGGTCGGTTTGGGTTGGGTTCCCTAATTACTTCGTGCTTGTTGGATGTTCGTGTGCATCTTGGGGGAGGGCACCCTCGAATGCTCTTCGGTTTGGGCCGGCGGAGGGTCCCATGCTCCCGAAGGATATTATTGTGTCCTAGGGCCGACCGTACACCCTCGCGTCCCCGATCCCCTCCACACAAGTCCCACAAGCCATCCTCTCCACTTCTAGAGGCGACTCCTTGAAAGACCAGCACCCGGTGGGCCTGCCATTCAGGCCAGGGCCCCGTTGTGAGATGGAACTGACTAACTGCCTTCCGCCGTCCCAGCGAGAGATCAAGAATGCGCAAAGCTACGATGACACAGTTCAACGGTGCAGGAGGAGGAGATACAGACCCCCGACGCCAGGATTTTGTCAGAACGTCGACCCCCAGAGGTCTCGACCCGTTCCCCAAGACTGGCAAAAGACGACCCTTGCCTGAGAGGAGGAGGTTGAATGCCCCCCGTCTTGTCCAAATAGGGGCGTGCGGGGGGGAAGGGGAGGGGAAGGCCCCTCTGGGGAGGCATAGCTCTCTGCCCATCTCAGGGCTGCCAGGAAGGGAATGTTGCTAAACCCAGACGTTGGCGCGCCCGAGAAAGTTGCGGCCGTGGGTCGAAACATCCTCCATCCTTCGCTTCCCCAGGTGAGCGACGCAGAGAAGCGGCGTCGCCTTCACCAGCGCTGGCGCGCGCAAAAGCGCCCCGCGTAGAGGTCCCGCGTGAGCGCCCTCGTGCTTCCGGTGTGGCGTGCCGCGCTGGCAGCCCCGCGCACGCCGCGGCAGCGAGGTCGCGAGGTCCTCTCGCGCAAGACCCGTCGCTGATCGCCGCCCAGGTGGAATCTGGGCGACGATAAGCGACGGGCCTGGGGGGGGCTTCCGAGGCCCAAAGATGGCCTCCGAGATGGCTCAAGATAGCTCCAGATGGCCGAAGGTAGCCTCCGGCACTCCTCCGAGAGGCCCCAAGACAGCTCCAAGACGGCTCCAAGGGCCCTCCGAGCCCTCGAAGGACCCCCCCCGGCCTGGGCGCCACGAGCAGACCCGGCGGGCTGGCCGGGCCCCGCCCCGCCCGGTGGCGGAGCTTGCGCCGAGCCAGGGGCCGGGCGCGCCAGTGCGGGGGAAGCCGCGCAGGCCCCGGGTCTCCGCCGATCCGGCGTGCTCCAGCCCAGCGTTGTCCGTAGACCTCCGCCTCCCGGGCCCGTCGTCGGGCCTTCGGGGGCATCGACAGCTGATATCATGGGCGTGAAGCTACCCTCAGGGCAGCGGTCGAGATGTTTGGGACCGTGCACTGAAGAGACAGATCGGCGGATGTCAGAGCTGGTAACTATGGGGAGGAGGGGGCACTCCACCGCATAGATCCCGCGGCCCTAGTTGGTGACGCCCCAACTGCAATAAACGTCCATCGGGGAACTAGACGTGCGGGCCGAACCGATCCGCCGCAGGAGAGCGGGGACGTGACTTCGAACGGCCTCATCGCCATGGGCACGCTGATCGGCGCAGGTCAGCACTGAAGTCCTGCTGCGTGTATCTCAAAATCATAGTCGGGCCCCAGGAACGGCGTACTTCCAGAAGCCTGGAGTCACCAGTTCGATCATTGCACGATGACGACAAGCGTGCGATTGAGTTTGCCCCCCGATGGGTGATATTCCGGTCAGACCGACGTTCTGATCATTGCTGATCGGCGCAATCGATTGTTCAATTCGCCGGCCCAACGGGCCAGAGGCGTGCTAAGATCTCCGGTAACTACTTAACAATATGTCTAGTTCGCGCGCGGGGCGGCCCCTGGGGGGCCACGGACGAAAAGTACCCCGGCCGATCCCCGGCTGATCCCCGGGCGATCCCCAGGGGGGAGGCTATTTTTCGCCACCCCTCACGAGGATCGTGGCCTCCGAGAGGGGGGCCGCCAACGACTACCCCCCCTCCCGCCCCAAGGGGCCCCCAAGAGCCCCCCAAGAGGCCCCAGGGGAGCCCAATACGCCGCCGAGGAGCCCCAAGACGCTCCCAAGAAGCCCCCAAGAAGCCCCCAAGACGGCCCCAAGAGGCCCCAAATAGCGCTCCAGGGCCGGCGGAATGAGCGAAGCGATGAATAATGATTGTGCCCTGTTGGAAAATTATGATCGGCATCGAGGTCTCTCCGCATACGTTTCTCCCTTTCCACCAGGTGGCCTCTGCGCGTCGGGATTGCAAGCCGCCGCAGCAGGATCCCCCTGAGCTCGAGCTCGGGATTCGTTTTGTTGAGAGGCGTCTTCACGCGATGAGCTGCCTGTCGCAAGTGAGCGCGAGTGTGGCGCACTCACCCTTGATGATGCTGCGCTGTTACGTTGTCGGCGCATCAGGCTGATGATATCCCACCCCTGCGAGAGTAGTGTACAGTGGAGCAGCGTCGGCGGGGCCGACTTCCTACTCGCACCGAGAATCTGGCCAGGTTCATTGTCATGGGATGTTGGCTGAATCGTGTGGACAGGCTGGTGGCGGAGAGGGGAGGGGAGATTCACGAAATAGCTTGGTGCTCTCTAGACGCTTTCGACATGGATTCCAGATCGGCCTCTCAACAAGTTCCGAGCCATGGGCTCTCTTGGACAGGGCGACCCAGTGCGCGGCCGAGAGCACAGAAATTCTAAGTTGTGGGGTGGAGGTGTATGTTGGTGTACGCCGATGGGGCCGGTTCTTTGTGATTTGTCAGAGAAGGTTCGGATTTGGGAGACGAGTGGATTGGCTGATGGCTGTGGTGATTGGGGCGCGGTCGCAGGTAAGTGGAATTGGAGATAAGCAGGTGTGGGAGGGAAACGATTGTACAGAATGTTCAGCGCCCCTTGGTGACAGCAGAATCTGGCGGCGTTGCTGCATAGGGGTCAGGAGGCTGTTATTATGTTCTTCTCGTCTCGCAGGGCTCAGGGCACGTAGCCCAGCATAGCTACGTGGGGTCGCGATGTCGGGGCACGGGTACAAACCGTGGTGGGAGGGGGCACGGTGAGTCGGTCACACCAGGCCAGTGGAGGCAGGCTCACGCTGTCTGGATTTATGGAAGTCGGCCTTGCGCATTTTGTCGCGCTCGCTATTTCTGACGCCGGATTTTCCCCCGGGCCTTGCCTTCTATCGTAGGCATGCTCAGGCTGGAGCCTTGATGAGTTCACATAGTAGTGGCAATATGTATTTCAGGGCTGGCGGAGGTTCACAGTTGTCGCACATGTAGGACCACCCTTCGAACGATACGCACCCTTCGAACGATACGAAGATTGGGGGGATTGACTGTTTCTCGTGCTTGCGATGGTGCCGCATCGGATCGACAACATCTCTGCCGAATGACAGACAGTATGTATGATATCCAGTCGTTGCCGATCACGCCACCTTATCATCATACAACGCGAATGATGTACAAGTGCATGTGCATTCGCATGTTTTACACCTACCCTTGCATGTGAATACATACCTGTCTACATACGCGGCTCTCCCCCCATGGGGGGCCCCAGGATTGGGTTCGCCATAACATTTCCGCCCTCAGGTGTTCGCCGCCTTCCCGGCCCAATTCGCACAGGAATCTCCCGACAGGCTGCATACGTCCTTGGAAAGCCGTGTCTGCGCTATGGCAGCTCGCCAGCGATGGAGGAGGCAGTCCCTCGACCGCCCTCCTTCCACTCGGCATCGGCGTTCGACTCGGACTCTTGTCCCGACACTGGGCTGCAAAGCAGCTTCAGGATTGCAGGGTCCCCTCTGGTTGGAGATCAGAGGAGGATTCCGTCTGCGCGGCCGGCTCCCTGGTTACCAGCGTCGAGAATTCGCATGTACAAATGCACGTCCATCAGCACCGCGAATTCGACGTATCCATCATCCCCCTCGGGGAACACCCGGGGTCCTCCCCCCCCTGTTCTGTGCAGTGCAGTCCCTGCTGAGCGGCGTTCGGACGCGCCAATGTGCGAGGCAACGCAACGGTCTCCCATGCCAGCGCGCAGGTGTCCCTCAGAAGCAGTGTGGCCGCCAAACTCAGCCAAGGAGGGAAGCACGGCCTTGAGTCTAGCGCTGAGGAGCGAAGCCAGGAGAAAGGGGAAGATCTAAATTCCGATTTGGGGTCAGCGGGCGCGCATGCGGAATGGAGCAAGGCCCGCAGGCAACCCGAGAATCACCACCCAGCATTGTGAATGACTGTCTGCATCAGGTGAATGGGCTGCGTGTTGTTGCGCCTGTGCTGGCGACTTACAGTTGCACTGTGAGGTGGTGTTGCTCCCAACTGTCATCCTTGTGTCGGCCTGGTAAGAGAAGCTGATTTGTAGCCGCCCACCGCAATGTTACCAAAAGAAGTGCTTACTTTGCTCAAGCCGAGCTGCTGCGTTGTGATGTTGTGCCCGTGTGCTTCTGCTTGCAGCGCGTACCGTACAGCAGAGACTGCCATTCCAGAAAATGCTATCTGAAATGTATCGTAGGGCACTTCAAGACGTGATACATTGGTTTGAACATGTGTGATCGTCGTCATTGGTGGACACCAGAGTATTAGTTCATTGGGGTTTTAATGTTACACGCGTTGTACTGTTCAAAGTCATTGCAATAATGGTACTCATCAACATGATCAAGGTTGCTCTTCGCAAAGCGTCAACTGACCTTTGCTGCCATCTGGTAGATCGTGCTTCACTCATACTGCTGCAGCACGCACCGGAAATACAGGCACGGTATGTCAAGCGTTGTGAGTTCTTGAACTGAATCTTGCACGAGCCCAACTAAGGATGTCTTTATTGTCGAAAGCACACAACCTGCTGCGCAGTGCAGTACGATCGGGTGCCACGCAATGTACTATACAGCACAGCATCGCAATGCATAGCACGGCACCTAGCACATCAGAGCAAGGCAGCAGATTGAACCACTGAACAGCATAGCATGACATAGCGTGACGGAGTTTTGAAGGCATCGCGTAGCATGGTATAGTACGACGCAGCATAGCAAGGCATTGCACTGAGTTGGATGTGCAGAGCACCGCACATGACGAAATTGCATAACGAGGCATGGTAAGTCATAGCATCGTATTGCCTCGTTTTCCACAGAAAACCAGACCACTAGCAACTAGCAACATAGCGCCCGGAGCACGAGCAACCAGCGTGAAAAAGTAGAGGGTACCCACAACGGATGCGTGTCGGTGCGGTTTGGGCTGTAGCGTGTATTGTGTTTATGAGTATGTTGTTGGTGTTTTCTGGTTTCGCATGTCATACCCGGATTGTGGGTTGCAACCGAGCGCATCTCCACATAAGCCGAGACGTCGTCACGGACACCCCGCACACGCTTCTGCCAGCGGAGCGGTCATTCTCAGTCCGCGGGCAGCGGCCGACAGACACCCCCCATGCGCACATACTCACGATGTCGTTGCGCGCTTGGGTGCCAGAATCTTGCATAAACGTGTCCACCCCCCCCGTGAAAGTGAACCCACCACAGGCCCGCGTGCTTGCCGCTCTGGGCGGCCAAAGTGGAGGGAGATCAACCTTCCTCATCCTTTTCTTGCACCTCCCCCTCCTCCTCCTCCTCCTCCTCCTCCTCCCCTCCTCCTCCTCATCATCCATCATCATCATCATCATCATCATCATCATCATCACAGTCATCAGCATCATCATCGTCATCACCCTCTTCCTCCTTGTTCCCTCCTCTCTCCTCCTCCTCTCCTCCTCCTCCTCCTCCTCCTCCTCCTCCTCCTCCTCCTCCTCCTCCTCCTCCTCCTCCTCCTCCTCCCCCGTGCTCCTCCTCATCCTCCTCCTCTTCCTCCTGTTGTTGTCGTTTCTCCTCTTGATCATCCTCATCCTCCGCCTCATGTCGTTTCCCCTCCTCTACCAGCCTGCGCCTGCGGTCACGACGCCGCCTTCCGACTTGGTGGCGATGGCGGGCCAGCTGCAGGCGCTGCGTGGGGTCCTGTTGCAGGCCTCGGGCGGGGTCGCGGAGGGCCACACGGCGCAGTTCGTCCAGGTGTTGTTCGCGCGCATCTAGAACATGGTGAGCTTGGTCTCGGCCTCGCAGGCGACGGCTGCAGCCTCTGCGGCGACAGGCGGTGCCGCCCCTGCGGCCGCGGCCGTGGCCAGCGCCGCGGCGCCCGCAAGCGCGACTGGCGGCGCACGCGAGGACGTGGACATGGGTGCGGCCGCCCTGCGGTGCATGGGTCGTTTCGCTCTCCCGCGCAGCTGCGTGATAATGTTGCTTGCCGTCCCAGCCGACTTTCCGCAGGCCCCACTGACGCAGTTGGGCCAGGCACCGTGGTCATTGTCCAGTTCGCTTCGTCCAATGGATCGCGCTGGCAATGTTGCAAGGAGTTCTTGTCCCAGGCCGCTCGCGGGGTCATCGTCGTCGCCGTTCAAGAGCTGCGAGTGGACAAAGGGGACATGGCTGTTGCTACGACATGGGCGGCGGCGAGAGGATGGAAGGCCTATATCACGCCGTGCCGCTGCCTGGAGTCTGGATATGCGAGCGCGGGAGTAGGCTTGATCATACGCGATGTTGTCTCGACTCGCTTGCTCGATCCCGATTCGGGGGTAAGAGGCTGCGAAGTCATACCATCATCATGGGCAGGTGCAGTGCATGCTGACATGGGAATTCCAGGAGGAATGATTGCTTCAGCTGTGTATCTTGAATATGTCCCAGGACCCCTGCACTTGAGTGCAAGTCTACACAGACTGCTCCGTTTGGCCGACGCGCTGAGGTACTATGCACGCCCGCTTGTCGTTGCTGGAAATTGGAACACGACTCGCTCCGACCTCGAAGCGCATGTCGTGTTTGAGCGTTTCCCCATTCAACTTGCGGTCCCTCAGGGGGGCGAGCCGCTCGGCTAGTGGGAAATGTCGCCCCATCGATATCTGGGTCGCCTCCCCTTCTCTCACGAAGGCGCATCGCGACCCACGTGTTGCTCCCGACTGGGCCGTCAGACCCCACTTCCCAATTTGGCGGCGGGCGCGGGGGGGAAATGAGAAGGGGCGGGGCTTCCGAGGCTTCTGAGAAGTTTCTGGACTTCTGAGAGGGCTTCTGAGAAGTTCTGTCTGCATTCGAAATAGGCCAAGGAAACGTCTCAGAAGCCCCCCGGACTTCTAAGAAGTCCCGCGGCCTTCTGAGAAGGCCTTCTCCTTCTCATTTCCCCCCTGGGCTCGTCGCCTACCAATGTCGCTTGATCTGGCGGCCCTCTTTCGGGAAACCAAGCAGTTGAGCCTGGTCGCCCCCGAGGCCACCCCCCGCGCGCGCAGGCCCCCACTCCC